CAACCAGACCTCACGAACAGTCCAGATCGCACGTGACGACCAGACCTCACCAACAGTCCAGATCGCAGGTGACGACCAGACCTCACCAACAGTCCAGATCGCAGAGGAGTGCCACACGGCAGCAGACTCGCCGGCTAAATCAGTTCCCGATAGTCCCCTAGGCAGATTCCTCTCACGCATGGAGGCTCAGACGAGATGTGAAGGCCTCGCCCTACCGCCCAGTCTACAGCATCCCGTGCGTGGCTCGCACTCGAGTCACCCCAACGTCCTACTACGACACGACGCGTGGAGCGACGTCTACGGCGTGATGCCGCAGTGGGATGGCATCTTCTCCCAGCATGCCGACGCGTCGCGGCAGGCGATCGGCGGGGGGGAGGTCTCGCCGCCCGTTGTCGTCGACGACGCCGCTGATGATTCGGACGGAGAGTCGGTGGTCAATATCGGTCAGCGGTACCATGAGCAGGAGCTGGAGGACGACGACAGCGATGACCGCAGCGGCCGCGCATACAGAGATTTCTTCGGCGAGAGCGCGGGCGGTCGAGAGCCGAGCTCCGATGAGGGTCCAGCAGAGCCGGACACCAGCAAGTGCAGTAGCATCAGCAGCAGCAGCACGATTAGTGCCGGACTACTAAACGACTCCCAGGAGCAGCAAATGCCGCAGTTAGTGCCGTTGGGCCCCGAGGTACGTTACTCGAGCCTCGCATTTCGAGTGTATCACCATACTAGTGAGGCAGATTAGGTGAAAAATATTTGCATGTTATCTGCCCCACTATACAGCATGGCATCCTTGCGAAATGATTAATTCTGCCGTTACCATATATCTGTTATGTCTGAATGCATGGCGATCGAGGCTTACGTTTTACTCACGCTCTCCCACTTGAAGCGAATTCATGAATCTATTTTGTGTCAATAGTATCACTATTTTCTAACTGCACTCTTGCATGTCTCTCCAAAATGGCAATTTCTGCTGGTGATTCTACTATGTTTCCAATCAATATTTCTATTTCAATGAAGTAGGTGTTTACGTGGCCAATTTAAACGATTGAAATTCAATTGAAATTCGTTGGCAACACTCTGATCCCTTGTTTTCTCTTGGCTGGGTAGTAAACCCTGGGTGAGTGTGTGTTTATATGGTTCAGGAAAGAGAAGATGAGTGTGACTTCGAGATAGACGACGCTCTGTCTCGCATCCTCGCAGAGTTTCCTCACCAGGCGGAGCTGCTACGCCGCACACCAGAGGCGGTGCGGCTGCGTACCCTGCTCAACGAAATTGCTGTCCTGCAGAGCTACGATGCAGGCTATGCTGCAGATGTGCAGGGTAGTTGGGACAGCGAGCGGGAGGCAGGTCTGATGGAGGCTGAGCTGCAACTGCAGAAGGAAATAGAGCTGCACTCCTCCAGGTGGCAGCACATTCCGGGCACTTTTAAACGCACACCTAATACTGTTAGCAAGGGTCTATGTCCCCCAGGGTACTGCCGGAATGTACCCTGGGTACGGTTCGGCCGGTATATCGGAACGTACCCTGGTAACTATCTGATATGGTTAGGGTTAGGGAGTAGGCGTAGGCGTAGGTGACATATATGTACCTGAGGTAACTATCTGATATGGTTAGGGTTAGGGAGTAGGCGTAGGCGGCTCCTTAGACTCGTTAGTGGAGTAGGCGAGGTACGGTCCGGCATATTAGATAGGACCAGGGTACGTTCCGGCAGTACCCTGGGGGACATAGACCCTCTCAGCGTTAGCAAGAAGATGGTGGAATGTGCGAGGGGATTGTAGGGGAAATGGTTGATTTTCCATATCTCTAACCTGCCTAGCAACGGACTGTAGATCCACTGGTATTAAATTTTGTGTTCATTGCTGGTGAGTGCTCAGTTTTGGTGCTAGGAGTAATAGCACCATGTTTGTGGCATAAGAATCCTAATATTTATAGTGAATACATATTTTACCATACACGCTCATAACTGTAGTGTTGGTGCTATAGCTGTATCTTTCGTTACTACAGTTAATGTGTGTGTGTGTGTGTGTGTGCGTGCATGCGTGCGCGCGCGAGTGCCGCGTGTTTGTGTATGTGTGTGTGTGTCAGTGCGTGCGTGCATGCGTGCGCGTTTCTGCATGTGTTGATATTGATATTTATCACCCAAGCATATACAGTCCCTTGTAGGTATAAATACATGAGCTAATTTATGTATTTTAATTATTATTATTATTAATATTATGTAATTTATGTTATTCTTTCAGGGAAGAGGAGGATGATCTCTTGTATGAAAAAGAACTGTTTACTTTGCAAGGAAATGAGACCGCCATCCATGAGGTATGTGTACTTGCATGGCTCTTTCCTATCTATCTATCTGTCTGTCTGGCTTTCTATCGGTCTGTCATTCTGTCTGTCTGTCTGTCTGTCTGTCTAATTATTTCTCTCTCTCTCTCTCTCTGTCTCTCTCTCTCTCTCTCTCTCTCTCTCTCTCTCTCCTCTCTCTCTCTCTCTCTTCTACTATATTAATTACTATATATATATATTCATATATTAACTATATATAAGATGACCTATATATGCTTGAGTCTGTTGGCTGTCTGTCTTCCTCATTTTATCACTCCCTCTCTATCTCATCTTTATCTCTCTACTCTCTCTCTCTCTCTCTCTCTCTCTCTCATCTCATCTCTCTCTCTCTCTCTCTTCTCTCTCTCTCTCTCTTTCTCTCTCTCTACTCTCTCTTTTCTTCTCTCTCTCTCTCTCTCTCTCTCTTTCTCTGTTCTATCTTTCTCTCTCTCTTCCTTTTCTCAATTTCTCTCTTCCTTTTCTCTTCTTCTATCTCCTCTCTCTACTCTCTCGCCCCTCTCTTCTCTCTCTCTCTCTCTCTCTCTCTCTCTCTCTCTCTCTTCTCTCTCTCTCTTTCTCTCTTTCTCTCTCTTCTTCTCTTCTCTCTCTCTCTTCTCTCTCTTCTCGCTCTCTGTATCATGTCTCTGTCTCTGTCGCTGTCTCTGCTCGTCATGCTGTCTCTCGTCTCTTGTCTCTGTCTCCTGTCGCTGTCTCAGTGTCTCTGTCTCTGTCTCTGGTCTGCTGTCTCAATGTTGTGTCTCCTGTCCCTGTCTCTGGTCTCTGGTCTCTGTCTCTGTCTCTTCTTCTCTCAGTGTATCTCTCTCTCTCTCTCTCTCTATATATATATATAACAATGATGGGTGTCTGTAATTTAATTTAGTGTAGAATATATACTGGATTATGGCCAATTGGAATTTTTTGCCCCTGCTTACATGAACATTAATTTGGAATAGGTACATTCACAATCAATCACAGGGTGGCTGTTTGCCTTTACAGCTACAATTGGAGACCGGTGGCGAGAAGATTGCTGCGGCTCTAGAGATTGCAGAAATGCATCTGCAAGTGATGCGACTGAGACTCTGTGATTCTGACCTCTAACCTCTACCTGCCTGAATTCCTGACATGACGAACCCAGGAATGTTTGGGATTGCTAGTTTCATGGTGTTACTGTGATTGCCGCCAATACCTTGGTAGAGATATCTGCACCAAAGTGTGTATGCGCGCACGTGTGTGTTCTTGCATGCGCGCATGCATGTATAGTTTGAGAGAGAACAAATGTTACTGAACCCCATTACGTTTGAAAATGGATATATTTAATTGTATTATTTTGTAATATACACTGCTCATATTTCTTTTGGAATGGTCACTTGAAATGCTTATTTTTCAAACTTTTTGATAATCATGTGTTCATTACATTGCACAATAAAAGGGTCTTGTACCATGACGTTTCACAATGCAATGGTTGTAGATTTTTTTTAGAACATTTTGCGTAATCTTTGAATAATTAAAATATGTATTGTTGATAGGTAGATGAATTTATGGATATGCAGATGATTGCACGGACAGACGGACAGACAGGCAAATGGACGAACGGACATGTAGTCAGATTGACGGATGATAGCTAAATAGGTAGGTGGGTTGGATGAGTTGGATAGGTAGGTTGGTTTACACAAACCTACCCAACAAGAATTTATTTGCCTACCTGACAGTGACTGTGTTCCAGCTTGCATGATCGTGTACCTATTTCCTGTTGACTATCGCCCGTACCGGTCTGAGCCTGTTCTTCCCTATGCCTGACTACATGCTGACACGAATGCTTGGAACCTACCTAGCCATGTAGTAGCATATCTGACTCGTAAACCTACAGATATAAATAGTGCAACCGAGCTCAAATTCAACATGGGTAAATAATCTGCAACTGCAGCTGTTGCTCACAGTCACGATTAGATATATTGTATGAATTTCTGTTCGGTTAAGCCTGGCGCACATTGCCGAACATTTTCCCGAACAAATGTTTTTGTCTGGTGATGTGCGGGTGAACAATTGCTGAGCGCACATTGCCGAACATTTTGCAGCGAACAACCTCGTGGCGCCATCTAGTAGCTGTGTTGTAAAGAGTCACGTGATCGGCGTGAATGGCGTCATGTCACCACATATCGTGCTGCTATTGGTTACTACTTTACAAATGTTCCTAGAATTGTTCGACATTCAGCGCACATTGACGAACATTCGACGAACAATGTTCGAGATATCAAACATTTCCGATCTTCAGAAACATTGTTCGGAACAAATGTTCGGCGACTTTTTTCACCGCACATTGTCGTACATTTCATGGAACATTGCTACGATAATGTTTTTGAGCAAAATGTTTGGCAATGTGCGCCGGGCTTTACAGTGCTAGGGAATACGGCTTGTGTGGAAAAGGCCTAAAAGGTCTTATGATGGGGGGTGTCACCGGTAAGAATGGGCCCCACAATACATTAGGGATAGCATAGTGAACTTTCTTCTTTTTTTTATCACATTGTAGAAAGTCAATATAGTGACCTATGAGAAGTATTAACAGGGTGTTATAGGGGTTAGGATTGGGAAATCTAGAAACCCCAAGGACAAGAAATTGGCTGTCGCATTATGTCAAAACTGTCACAATCATGACCTATATATATACATGTGCGTACATGTGTGGGCAGGCAGGCAGGCATGCGCGCATACGTGCATGCGTGCGTGCATACGTGTGTGCGTGCATACGCGTGTGCGTGCGTGCATACGTGCGTGCGTGCATACGTGCGTGAATGCGTGCATACGTGCGAGCGTGCGTGCATACGTGCGTGCGTGCGTGCATACGTGCGTGCGTGCGTTCATACGTACCAGCGTGCGTGCATACGTGCGTACGAGCGTTCATACGTACCAGCGTGCGTGCATACGTGCGTGCGTGCGTTCATACGTACCAGCGTGCGTGCATACGTGCGTGCGTGCGTTCATACGTACCAGCGTGCGTGCATACGTGCGTGCTAGCGTGCATACGTACCAGCGTGCGTGCATACGTGCGTGCGTGCGTT